TGGCTTAGGTCAGCACACTTGCCAAGAAAGCTTCCACTGGCAAGTGGTTTTTTCAAGCCTCTCTCTGAAACAAAGGCATGTAACATCAGAAGATTAAGTTTATATAAGATTGTAATTTTTTTGAAGCAGTGGTTCCTGACCTTTTTTGTTGGAACTCCTAACCACTTGCACAGAAATGGCTGAATAGCATCCCTCACCCCACCTCCCCGTGTATCCCCTCACACTGTCACCATTGTCCTTTTATTCTTGACCATTTTTTTTCTTTTCTGAGTAACTATTCTGAAGGGTTCCTTCTTCTCCAATTTACCAAAAGACTATATGCTGCAAGGCTAGAGGGGAGGCACCAGTCAGGGCCCTATTTAGCATATGCTTTCCCAGTGGAGCCACAGAAGATAAAACTGCATCTCTGCTACCTGAGCCTGAAGTCCAATACATGTGAGCAGCTAATATGGCTGTCTCAAAGGCCTCTGTGGAACAGTAGGAGTAGATGGGTAGCTTTGATGGAGCCATCGACTACTTCACCCACAACTGTGAACACATGTTTATAGTGTATGGGGGAGGGGACCCACAAGCTCCCCTCACGCACAATGTTCCTCTTCTCTGGCCAATGCCAGCCTGCTCTAGCCCTGGCTTGTGGTCATTCTCAGGCTGTTTAACACTGTGAAATTAGTATGAATTTAGTGATGGTGAAGAGCTGAAAGCCCTAGAGACTGAAGTTCATTATTCACGCAAAGAACAGAGATAAAACCATAGCATCTGTGCAAGTTTTCCTATCACTGCTCCACTACTATTTCTCAACCTTTCCTGAAGGAGCCACCTCTCTGGGTCATAGACAAATTCAGTCTCCATGCGATGTTCATTCTTCATCTTTCTATCAAAATGCCAAACAACAAAACTTTGTTTAAATTTGTTTTATTTCCCAACACAACAAAAGCTTCTCCTATGAAGTTACCAGTTAATGGACCAGTACCTGCATCCGCTTCAGATATATGCATGCTTAAGAATATTTAACCAAGATACCCAACTGGATGAACCTCCTTATGTGAGTTATAATATATACTGTACAGAAATATATCACATCACCAGTGACTGTTAAGATTACAGGAAAATTAAAAAGATGGGATGTCTTTTGAACAAAGTCCACTCCACAGGGCAAAAGAAGTGGAGTCTAACTTCCATGCCTTTTTTGAAGCTCTCATGCACTTCAATTAATGACAGATATAGTATTTTTCTTTTGGATTCCTCTTGAGATGTGCAGACACTCTACCTCATTACTTTTTCTGGGCTCCTAACCTCAAGTAATGTCCCACCAATTGAGCTCCCCAGGTTCAGCCACTGCAGCTCAGTGGAAACTAATGAATGTGTATTAATAATTCCCACAGTAGCCCATCTTGACCCTCTATGGACATACGGTGCTAGAGGGTCTGGAGAGAGAGGGGACCTGATTATATTTATCTTCCCCTAATTGGTCTCCTAGCATCTGAAATACCATGAGAAAACTAACTGTTCTTTTAAGTATATTCCACTTATTCCTGCAGTTTTTGGTGTACCTATAGGCATAGGCCACCTGAACCTTCAATCTGACAAGCATCAGCAACTGAGTGACACTTTTCCCATGGAGCCAGCACCAGGAACTAAGTCCAGGGGATGAAAGCATTTTAGAGCACCAAAATTCCTCCAACTTTTAGCAGCCTACCTGACCCTCAGACCTTCATCTTTAAAACAGAACATGCTAACACCTTTTCCTAGCAAGTAAGATTAGCTATGAAAGAGCTCTTTCCAAGGCCTGGATGAAAGTAGCCACCATTCTACAGCACAGACATTTACCCTCTGCCCCACATTCTAGTCCAAATTGATGCCAAGGTTTCCATGGATTCTTATATCCCCAGGGGGGTGTACCATAATTAACACCTGTATCCAGGGCTCTAGAGCTTCTGTTGTCACCCCCCGCCTCCCGCAGGGGGCCCCACCACCCCACGCCAATTTCACCCCATGCCACCCCCAAGTGCCGGGCTACTCTCTACCAGCACCCGCTGCCTCCCTCCCCCCACATGCGCTATGCCCGGGGGTCTCTCCCGCGGCCCCGGAGCCCAATCGGGACCCCATCCCCGCAAGGGGAGGGGGGTCCAAGGCCTCCCCCAGCAGGGCGGAGCGAGCTCCGGCCGGCCCCGGCGGGGGGACAGTGGCGCCCAGCCGTGTGCTCCGAGCAGCGAGCCCGAGCCCAGGCCCCGGCCCTGCCTCCCGCTCAGCTGCGTACCTGGTCCAGGTTCTCCTCGCTGCCGCTGTCCTCGGTGTCGGAGTCGATGAGGACCCGGCCTTTCCGCTTCTTCACCATGGCGGGGCCGGCTCCGCCGCGCTGAGGGGCCCGCGGACGGTGCGGCACTGAGAGCGGCTCGGCCTCCCCCGCGCCGCCCGACCGCCCTGGACACAAAGGGCACCGAGCATGCGCCCCGCGCCGCCCCGCCCTCCGGGGCGGGGCCTCCGCAGCCACTGGCAGAGGGGGCGGGGCCTGGGCCGGGTGCACGTGCCTGTGGGGGGGCTGCTGGGACGCGGAGTCACCCGTGGGGCGGGGGTGTCTGTCACCGCAGCCTCGCGCCTGCCGCCACGGCCCCTCGGCGCCCCGGGCCGCCCGTGCGCTGCAGCTCGTGGCTCCCGGGTGACTGGGGCCGACAGGGATTGCGGAGAAGTATGTTCTTCTCCGTTTTCCAGTGCGGGCTGGTGTCTCAGGGCATCTGGCAGCGCTCTGAGCGCAGACACGTTCGCTGCCGTCCCGGAGAGTCAGGCCGATTGCCCCCCTGTCTGGGTGGGGCTTTCATAGCGCAACTGGGGAGAGAAAATATTTAAAACACGGGAAACTGTGACTGTGAAGTCTCCAAACTGGGAGGGAGGGGGGACACGACTACAAAGGTGTGTGTGTAATACGCAAAAATACTTTGAACTGAGGCTTGAAATTGACTAGATAGCAAAGTAAGCACCGACACCTTGGACAAAGCCCCACTGACGTCAGTAGGGCTCCTTAGAGGTGCAAGTGTCATGATGCATAGCTTGTTTCAGGATTAGGGCTCAAGAGCTCGATCCTGCTTCCACTGAAAGTCAGCGATCTAACTCCCACTGACTTCACTGGTGCAGGTTTCAGATAGCAGCCGTGTATTCGCAAAAAGAAAAGGAGTACTAGTGGCACCTTAGAGATTAACCAATTTATTTGAGCATAAGCTTTCGTGAGAAGTGAGCTGTAGCTCACGAAAGCTTATGCTCAAATAAATTGGTTAGTCTCTAAGGTGCCACTAGTACTCCTTTTCTTTTCACTGGTGCAGGATCAGGCCCGAAATGAGGACAGAATGTATCCTGTTGTTTTTATAACTGAATGGGTTCAATCATGAGAGTGGGTTTATAAAATCACCTTTTAATAAGTTAAGATATAGAGCACTGCAGCTTCATGACCACACAAACTTCGAAACAGTCAGCTAGCTGTACATATGAGAGTACAACCTGACGTTTTTACTTAGGTTGTACTTGAGCAAATTTCCCATTGACTTCAGAGAGTTTTGACGGAGCGAAGTGCTCAGATACCATACCATGGTGATAGGTATCATATAAGAAATATTATAGAATTCAAGATTTGCCCCTGGAGAATAGAATATAACCTTCTTTTCTTAAAGCACAGATTGCATACTTCGTCCCTGATTCTGCATGAGGCTCTGCAGTTGGCAAGACATTTTCTTAGCTGTACATATGTTTAGATAAGGACTAATGGTTGTTATTAAGAATAATTACTTTTGTAATCAAGACAAAAATCTTCAGTAAATTATAGTTAAGATTGTAAATCAGTATATATAATCTAGGGGGGTTCCATTAAATATCATTGATATTGGAAAGCCATGAACGTGAAGGTAGTGTTTAAAACCCCCAACAACAGATGTTGAGATGTATCAATGATATAGTTAAGGTACTCTAAACCAGTGGTTCTCAAAGCCAGTTCGCCTCTTGTTCAGGGAAAGCCACAGGACAACGGGGGCTGCGGGAAGGGCTGCCAGCAAGTCCCTTGGCCATTGCCGCTTCCGCAGCCACCATTGGCCTGGAGCTGCAAACCGCGGCCAGTGGGAGCCGCGATCGGCCAAACATGCGGAGGCGGCAGGTAAACAAACCGGTCCAGCGTGCCAGGGGCTTTCACTGAACAAGCGGCGGACCAGCTTTGAGAACCACTGCTCTAAACAGCCTTAACTCTGACCTTCCATAACACCACAGAGTATCGTCGTTACTCTGGATACTTTCAATGTAGTATAAATTAGCCTGTACTGTACTAAGTATCACAAGCTTAACTAGTTAACAGTTCATATAATGAAAAACAAATCCTTAATGCTGTTCATAGCATACAGAAAAAAAACCCTTTTGATGTTTCAATAAAACTACATGTACAATTAAATAATACTTTGCACTTATAAATCTAATTTAAAAAATTTCAGCTGAGGATCTCAGAAACACTTTACAAGCATTAACGATTAACCTTCACAACCTCTCTGTGGCTAGGAAACCTTTAAGAGACACCTGACGAACACGAGTGACTTGCTCAGTATCACACAAGGAGATAGTGATACAGTTGGGAATAAAAACCAGGAAACCTGATCCCCAGCCCTTGTTCTAACTAGTAGGTGATGCTGCCTCCTGGCAGAGGGATCTGTATCCTGGAGGGACGCGCGCACACACACACTAGGGAACCCAGCTGCAGACAATGACATGCAGGCTGAGCGGGGACTGCGGTGGCTGTAACTGTGAGCACTGAGGTTCCGAGTAACTCGCTCCCACTTGAAGCTAGTCCGCCAAAGCGTTGCAGCGCCTCAGGGGGGTGCGGAACCTTTGCGACGCGGCCAGGGTTCCCCTGACGGGGGCTGAATGCGGCGGACCGGGTCGCTAGAGGCTGAGCTGCCTGTGGGAAGGGGGAAGCCTGTGGTCTCTGGTGTCAGGTGAGGCCGTTGGAGGGGGGCGTGGTTGTCCTACGGCGGGCTAGCTTGGGAGAGGCGGGTGGCCAACCTACCCCCGGGGAGTGGGGCTGGTCTGCGGGGAGGAGGTTTCTGCCTGGCATCGGCCCGTTTCTCCTCAGCACCGATCAGCGCCCCCAGCCTGGTGTTCTCCAATGAGCTGGTCTGGGGAGGCTGCTGCAGCCGGGCGCCTTGAGACAGTCACCGCGTCGTGACATGATGCTGCCGAGCTAGCCCTAGAGTGGCGTCCAGGGCTGCTGTAATCATGTCTGGAAACGGTGGGGTTGGCCCCTCAGAGGTAAATGGCGGAGCTCCTTTGTGCTATGTGTCATGTCCCCCCACGCCCTCACACATCAGGGGGATTAGAGAAAATAACCTGTTAGTTAGGGCAGAGCTTAACTGAGTGCATAGGAGTGCAGAGGAGAGCATGGTGGGAGCGCTTGTGTGTTAAGGGGGGGTGAATGCATGGGGATTATTCTGCTCTGGGTGCATTTGTTTATAGTCACAAAATGCTGCAGATTCGGTAGAACCCCAGCTCTCCAAAGGTCTCTGAGGACCCCTGGAGAGTAGGCAGTGAGGTGCCTGCCAAGGCAAACTTTAAAGGTTACCTGCAAAGAAGAATAAATTGGGCTTTTGCTCTGATTTGCTTCTCTGTGATCTATATAAAGGACGGAATGGCTTTTTTTTAAGATTGTTTTTCACTCCTCCCCTTCCCTGCTTGTGTTGTACTTTAGAAATCTGGGTTCTGCTTCCACTGAAAATTCTATGATGACCAGAAAACTAGTGAAATGGTGACATCACAAAGGTAAAAAGAGTAAAAATTGAGCCCCTGAGAGAAGGGATTTTTAGTCAGACTGTTTAAAACTCTCTTTTGAGTTGTTTTAACATCTGTGATAAATTAATATTTTGGAAAAAGAATGTCTTTGCTAAAGAGTAAAAGAGCCCTCCACTAATATATGTGCTGAAATCTGACTTTACTTATAAAAATTTATGCAAATAATTTCTACTTAACTGACTAAATTGAAGTTCTATAACAGTTAAGTTTTATCAGCACTCTGTCTCTTAGATCAGTGTTTACATGCTTTTAAAGTGGAAATCAGAACTGTAATGTAATTTACAGAATGAATAGTAAATTTGCCAATCCATCTCTCTCCAAAGCCTATGGGGGACCAGAATAAATCTATGTTGAGCCTGGCCTATTAATCTTCACTGCACTTTGGAAGGGCTGAGGTCTGCATAACATTCCTAGGACTGTCAATTCTCTTTTAGTTAGTAACTGTACTTTGTTTTAGGGAGGATCGTTACTTCATCCCTTGCCAGCAGGGAACTGCAAAACTTGAGCGCTTTCCTTGCCAGCCATTCTGATTGAACAGTAGTGTGTGTGTTTATGGGGTGGGAATTCCTTGTCCTAAAAATGATTTTAGGCTACAACATGTATCCCTTGGTCTGTCAAGAAGCAAACATGGGACATGAGAATAACAATAATGCTACAGTCTATTTCTCCACTCTCATAGCAGTTATGTGCTGGATAAGCAACACTTTCTTCTTTTTTTGACATACATGTTCTTCTGTCATGCTTTCTAATCTTTGGTGTGCTACTGACTGCCTGGACAAATCATTGGTTAGGTGGCAGACTCAGACAGGACAACTAGCAACAGCTGCTTCAGAGTAGCACAGTGCTAGTGTTGAAGCTGGCTGTAGAGGCAAATGGCAAACTAATTATAACTGATCTAGTTTCCTGATGCAGTCAGTACTACATGTAAAGTGCTTCTGTGCTTGAGTTAGTTGCTCCTTTGTAACTGCTTCTGACACTGCAAGGAAAGGAGAAGAAAAAGGGGAAAAGAGAGGAAGAAAATGAGAAGGACTGGAGGATAAGCAAATGCAGAGGGTTAGAGATAAGAGTCCTGCTGATGTTCCACAAAAAATTTTAACTTTGAATTATATGGGACATCAACGTTCAGAAGAAACTCTGGGGTAGGGAAGTTGGACTTTGAATGAAGAATTCCCATGGGGAAAGAACAAGTACAACTGTTGAGCATTATTGGCACTTTAATAATATTTATCTTGAACACCTTTCTTAAAATCCCAGAGAAAATAGTGTATTTTAAAATGTCAGGTCAATTTCTATAGCAAGTCCAATCCAGTCTAGTTTTACTTGTCTGAAATTATAATAGCCAATACATGGGGCTGTGAACATTAGGGATGTGAAATAGAGGGAAAAGTGTGTGGGTGGGGGGGAGGGTAGCCGTCTAAAAAGAATACAGAGAACATCCTTTCTTCTCCTAAGGGGAAGATTGTCATACTACTTCGGGGTGGAAGCTTTAAAAGCATTTTTGGGAATGTTTTCGGCTGCAATCTGCCATCTTAAATCCTCCGGCCAATTTAACTCTTCCTGGCATTTCTATGGTGGTAGCCTAAATGTGATCTGTTAGGCATGCAAGGTGGGTGAGTGATGCTTAATAATGACAGGCAGAATGAGGGAAGGTACAGTATGACTGCTTAGACTTTCTGCATATTTGCATCTGAAAGATCATAACTGAATGCCAGATAAAAGGAACATAGCAGTCCATATGGCATTATGGTTCAGCTGCTGTGCTCTTCCCTATGGACTGATCTACACTTAAAATGCTACAGCTACGCTGCTGTAGTGCTTCAGTGTAGACACTGCCTATGCCAACGGGAGGGATGCTCCCATTGACATATATAATCTACCTCCCCAAGAGGCAGTAGCTAGGGCCATGTCTACACTAGATAGTTTACAGCAGCACAGCTGTAAGATCTCTTGTGCAACCGCTCTATGCTGATGGAAAAGAGCTCTCCTGTCAACATAATTACACCACCCCAATGAGCAGCAGTAGCTATGTCAGTGGGAGAAGCGCTCCTGCCAACATAGCGCTGTCCACACCGGTGCTTATGTCGATGTAACTTAAGTTGCTCAGAGGTGTGAAAAAACATAAGTGGCATAAGTTATGCCAATATAAGTGGTAGTGTAGACATAGCCTAGGTCAACGGAAGAATTATTCCTTCAACCTAGTGCTGTCTACACAGTGGGTTAGGTGGGTTTAGCTAAATTTCTCAGGGATGTGGATTTTCACACCCGAAGAGATGTAGCTATACTGATGTAAAATTCTGTGTAGACCAGGCCTATGCCTCTTACTGACTCTGCCACGTTCCCCGCAGGGAAGAATATTGTGCAGATGAATTATGGGCTTTTCAGTTTTTCCATATCTGGCATTTGATACTGTTGGAGACAAGATACCACAGGGGTTTTCAAACTTCATTGCATTACAACCCCCTTCTGACAACTAAAATTACTACATGACCCCAGGAGGGGGGAACTGAAGCCTGAGCCAAAGCTCGAGCCCCATCGCCCCGAGTGGGGAAGAGGAGGCAAAGCGAAAGCCCAAGTCCCACTTCCCCAGGTGGGGAGGCCAAAGCTGAAGCCCAAGGACTTCAGCCCCAAAAGGGGGCCTGTAACCTGAGCCCTGCTGCCCAGGGCTGAATACCTCGGGCTTCAGGTCTGGCCCCGGGTCCCAGCAAGTCTAAGCCAGCCCTCGTGACCGTGAGTGCCGACTCCGTGGGTGCTCTGGGGCTGGAGCACCCACAGGGAAAAATTAGTGGGTGCTCTACACCCACCGGCAGCTAAGCTCCCCTCCCCACTCCATCTCACCTCACCTCACCTCCGCCTCCTCCCCTGAGCGCGCAGCGTCCTCGCTCCTCCGCCTACCTCCCAGCACTTGCCACTGCAAAACAGCTGTTTCGTGGCGTAACAAGCTCTGGTGGGGAGGGGGAGGAGTGGGAATGTGGTACGCTCAGGGGAGGAGGTGGGGAAGAGGCAGGGCTGGGGTGGGGATTTGGGGAAGGTGTCCAATAGGGGCAGGGAGGGGGCGGAGTTGGGGTGGGGACTTTGGGGAAGGGGTTGGAATGGGGGTGGGAGGGGGCAGGGCAGGGGTGGAGTCACGGTTGGGCCAGGGGCAGAGTGGGGTCGAGCACCCACTGGCACCAGAAGAAGTCGGCGCCTATGCTGGCGATCCCATTAAAATGGGGTTGCGACCCTCTTTGGGATCCCGACCCACAGTTTGAGAACTGCTGAGATAGAAGATGAGATGGGCCATTGCTGTCCTAGTATGGAATTCCTGTTTTTTCCCACGTTAGATTCCAGATTGCTTCAGTTACAGGAATGGCCAACATCGGATGATATTATCAGAACAAAGATTACAAGGGATGTCGGACTGAATCTGGTCTTTCATAACATTTGTTCCATGACTTCTTTAGATGAGGTTGACGTCTTCTTCAGGATTGTCTTTTAACTTGTGCCTAAATAAGGGATGTAAAAGCAGGGGCTGAGCTATTGCACTATAAGGTCTACCTTTGTCAAGTGACCTTCTCCTGTCCTGTGACAGAATTCAACACACTGTGGTATCTGGATACCACTGACCTTAGAGTCTGAGTCCCAGTCTTCATGTTAATCGCTAGGCTGTGAATATTTCTATGCAATTACATATCTGCAGTTCTCCTTTCACTTCCTGTCAGGCTATGGTGCACATAGGTAGTGATTATTCCCAGACATTATAGTTATCTTGAAATTGTGTTCAGATTTGTTGATTAGAATTCAGGAGTCCTCTAACAGTTATGGTAGGGTATTTAGGAGCTATTTATACAGAGATGAAATGTGTATTTTTTGACCTAACATGCCTTTTTTTTTTCTTTTCTTTTTTTTCTCCTTTCTTCAGTTCTCTCTTTTGCTTAGAGTATTCCCTGCACACTTAGTTCCATCCAGCTACAGAAACTTTTCAACTTTTAAAAATATTTTATAAGAAATTATGTGGTTGGGTTATCAGACATGAGCATCTTTCAGTCTGTGAGTTTCTAGTGGGATGCCTTTGATATGAACTCTAAAATAAATGCAGTAATGAATTGGAAAATTAATAATTATTGAGATGGATAATAACATACATAAGTAAAAAAAAAAAAAAAAGTGAGGTGGAAATTCCCTTTGCATGAAACCTAGTAATTTAATCTGTACTTAGTTGTCCTAAAAACACTGTTTACTACATGATGATTCCATAACTGGTTTGGGTCAAAATTGTTCACAAAATTCTGTTCACACAATGCTTTAAAGTAGGGGTTCTCAAACTGGGGGTTGGGACCCCTCAGGGGGTCGTGAGGTTATCATGGGGGGTCGTGAGCTGTCAGCCTCCACCCCAAACCCCGCTTCGCCTCCAGCATTTATAATAGTGTTAAATATAAAAAAATGCTTTTAATTTATAAGGGGGGGAGGTCGCACTCAGAGGCTTGCTGTGTGACAGGGGTCACCAGTACAAAAGTTTGAGAACCGCTGCTTTAAAGGTACACCATCAACTTGAAAATTTTATATCTCTTTGTAAAAGTTGTATCTACTGTTGTTACAAGTAGCACCTGAATTTACTATAATGGAAAGAGAATAAATGGGGAAATATCTTTCAGTTGATTTACTTTATGCATTTGACAGTACTTTGTGTAAGTCAGTCATTTTCTCCTGTTTGTGTGTGTCTTCAACACAACAAGGGCAGGCAAAAAGTATTTAAAAATTAGGAAAATGTTACTGTAAATTCACAAGAGGGCTAAGCAGGTGTAGTACCTGAAACTACTTTTAACTCATATTTTTTGAATTGACTGGATTTCAAGTTGGTGTCCCTTTTAAAATAAACTTGCAAGAATGCTTCAGGTATAGCTTCTCTAATTGTTTCTTCTCATTACAGGTGGAGGCAAGCTACATTAACCAAAATAGGATCTATCTAAGTGGCTTTTTTTGAAGAATTTGTTTCCAACCTGATAGTTATCTTAAGGAATTCTGATTATTCTTCAACCTTGTTTATCGTTATGGCTCTATCTTTTAAACTGCTGGACAGTATCTTTCTTTCTAGTAGGTGCCATAGGCAAAATGCCTTGCATCCTTTGCTTGGACCTCTCCTCACTGATTGCATCCCAAAATTGTACAGTAGCTATAGGAGACCAGGGACATCCCCTGATAACACTCCACCTTGGAAGATGAATTTCAGCTTTGAGAAGGGAGTGGATGGAATTAAGAAACATTTTGGCATCCTAAAAAAGGAATTGGTGGATCACTGGAAAGGGCCTGAGGGCTATCCTTTAGAGGAGTACTTGTTGGAACAGACTAGAGTGGTCTGGGAGTTTCGCAGCCAGAAAGATTTAGATGAGTGGGTGGTTTCTTCTGACGTAGAGATCGGAGGGAAAAGTGAAGCCTACCTAAAACTGGGTAAGAATAATCAGACTGCTCTGCTGTATGGGACCCTCAATACTGAAGCACCTCGTGATGGGGAGACAGAATACAGTGGATATTGCGCAATGAGAGCCAAACTGCCAAAGGTGAGTATAACTTAGTGACTTAAGTTATTAACATTGTGTTGAATCAGTCAGCATTTCTCTGCAATCAGGACCGGAGCAGTAGAGACTTGGGTGGAAATTCTCTCTCTAGAAGAATACCTTATTGTCATGTTTAATTTAAATGAGGAAAGAAAATAAATGCTCCCTGATGCAAGAAAAAGAAAAACAGGCTGAAGTTACATACTATGCATCCCAGTCTTATTGCACAAAATTGACTTCATGCCACGCCCAACTGGAGAAACCTCTACCCCTTGGGTACTCGTTCTTCTGAATATGAATAACTGATGTGTTTACTTGGCACGGTGCAGGGAGCTTACAGATGAACTTTCACTATTCCACACATTTCACAGTCTGTCCATTGAATAAAAAAAGCAAAGCTCATACTATCGCTTTTTACTGGTATTAGCTAATTAGGTTTCTGAATTTAAATTTATAACAACTTAATGTGTCAATTTGACTAAAACAAAGGCAGCCTTTCACCTAAGATCAGAATCTCTTGAGAATTTAAAAGGAAAATCTATTGTCCTGTGTTTTACGGCTGTATAACTGCTTGTCAAACCAGCCAGAATAAGTGGTCTTTTACTTGTTGCAAATGTATCAGAGCATCTGAAGGAATGAGACACTACTGCATCAATCCATTTAGTGATGTAATTGTTGCCCTGCTTCGTGAGCAGGCTCAATGAAGCCTTATCTCAGGGCTAGATCTTCCTTTTCAAATGACTTTGTTTTTTATCAGCATAAAGTGGGTTTCCTACTGCACCTTGATAACTGAGTAAAAGACAACCTTGTGTATGGTCTCCCCACAAACCAAAGATCTCCTGCAACAAAGTTTTGTATCCAGAATTGGTTTGTTTTAAATGATTGGTTTAGTGACTAATCTGGATGCTAATCTGTGTTCCCCCAGAGTCTTATTCATCTCAGTGGGGCTCCTTGTAGGTGCTTAGGTCTGCCTGTGTGGAACAAGTTGCAAGATCAGGGCTGCATCTTATAAAATAAAGGTGATGAAATAAGGAAGGTGTGCAAGAGTCAGAGGAATTGGACATTTATATGGATAACAAGAGTGTTAGCATCTAATACATTTTGGAAAGTATGGTAGTTATATAAATGCTAGTTTCAAGGCTCAAGCTAATTTTTATTCGGGATTAGAACGAGACTTTCATAGGGGGCAGGGTGTCCCACATCTGCCATCTGTGAGGTTTCTTGCACCTTCCTCTGAAGCATGCTGGGCTAGATGGAGCATTGGTCTGATGTACTATGGCACCCCTTTTTATGTGTGGAAGTAAAAACAGATGTTAGGTCTGCTACCTTTGAGAGGGTAATCTGGTGCTGGAAATGAAGTCTCACTTGTTGTGATTGAAGAAACAGCAAGCATGAATCTTTAGACCAGTGGTTCCCAAACTTGTTCCATCGTTTGTGCAGGGAAAGCCCCTGCTGGGCCAGACCGGTTTGTTTACCTGCCGCATCCGCAGGTTCGGCTGATCGCGGCTCCCAGTGGCCGCAGCTTGCTGCTCCAGGCCAATGGGAGCTGCTGGAAGCGGCATGGACTGAGGGACATACTGGCTGCTGCTTCCAGGAGCTCCCATTGGCCTGGAGCAGCGAACTGCAGCCACTGGGAGCTGTGATCGGCCGGACGCGGCAGGTAAACAAACTGGCCCAGCATGCCAGGGGCTTTTCCTTCATCAGTGGTGGAACAAGTTTGGGAACCACTGTTTGAGCATTCAGTCCCATTTGAGGCCTGTAACACATTACCGAAATTCTGTGTGACTGATAGCATAGTGGAAGTCACTCACTCTAGTTTTCCTTATCCTCCAGTTTCCAGTAGGTCACAGCAGATAGCTTGGATAAGGAGAGTGCCCAGAAAGGGGAAATTGATCAAAGTGGTGGTTACCTGTAGTCTTCATAGTAGTAATTCTCATTGAAATATTGAGCTGCAATAACATGCTTTATTTATACCTTCTAGGGAGCGTTTGAAAGGAAGAAGTATTATGATTGGTCAAACTTCAATAGTCTGTATTTACGCATTCGTGGTGATGGTCGACCCTGGATGATAAATATCTATACAAACCCATACTTCTCCCATCAAAAGGATGACCTGTACAATTACTTCATATTCACCCGAGGGGGTCCATACTGGCAGGAAATTAAGGTAACTTTGAATATTTCCTTGGGACTGAGGAAGATTAATCCTCTTCAGTACTGTATTGCTTTAAAGATTGCTGCATTTATGCATACGTAGTTCTTTGGCTTATCAATACTGACAGAAGCTCCCCCAACAGCTATTCTTTTTCTATCGAGAAAATAGCTAGCTTATATAATTCTGTCTAGTCAAAGGGTCAGGTCATGGAGTTCCACAGGGCAACCAGCAACAGTCACCACAGAAGAGTATAGGGCTGGAGCTGGCTTCAGAGGGAAACAAAGAATAAGTTTGATCTGGTCCATCTTCTGTGTATTAACTCCATGTATATGACTGGCACTATTGCAGGAGCCAGACAGAGCATAAAATGGGTTATTAAGTCTTTCGGGGAAAGTGGTTCTTCTAGTATTGTATGTGTACATGTAAAACTAAAGTCCGTATTCCTTATTGTTAGATTCCATTCTCCAAGTTCTTTCTCTCAAGTCGGGGGAGAATCCAGGATGATCAGCACCCACTCTGGTTAGATAAGGTAAGTTGTTTCTGCACTTTATACTACTGAAATTCTCATTAAATGATAGTAACTGTGTAAGTGAAGACCATTTAAAACTCTTCAAGGTATCTAGAGCTATATGAACTTGAAATTGCAGTATTTTTTCTCCAGATATTAAATATATCTAGTTTCTCACCTTTCCTCTTAATATTCCAAATTTAATTAAAAATCTCTTATCTAAACCAGTGGTCTCCAAACTTTTTTGATTGCGCATTCCTATCGGTAAAAAATTTGAGCACGTACCCCCAATATATGTATATATTATATACATGTACTACTGTACTAATATAGGGTGTAAATTATAAAACATACACAAAAAATAGAAATTAAACGATGAGATAAAGATTAAATAAAAAAATGTAAAAATATTTAACAGTACAAAACCCCTTTTTGCTCATTAAAAAAATTACTATTAATTTAGTGAGCAATGTGCAATCCTGCCTGCTCCTCCATGGGCCGAACTCAGGCCTGCCCCTCCCCCCCCTCTCCCCCCCCCCCCCACCCCCCCCCCTGCTCCCCCTTTCTTTTGTGGGTGTGCCTCCCCTCCCCCCCCGCAATCGATCATCTTGCGCACCCCCCTTTGGAGAGCACTGATCTAAACAAATTTGAAGAGATGTGGTTACTAAGAATCAGTTGACAATTTATTGAGGCTTTCAGAGAGCCTTGAAAAACTAGTGATGAGAAGAGGCAAAGTCCTGCATTTAGACAAAAAACCGTCAAAAGTAGATCTAAATGGTCAATTATGGCAAGAAAGTGGGGTGTACTAGGAGAGGTATTAAATATGTATTAGCAACCTCAAAAGGGCGAGCAGTGAGGTGATAATTTGTAGCTCACAATTCTTTAGGATAGTCAAGACAGAAGAAACCAAAAGCTAGGTGAATGGGTAACACTGTAGCATATGAAATTCACTGTTGGCAAATGAAAGGTGAGAGACATTGGAAGCAATGGGCTATTTGTACACCTTACTGGGTTCTAAGTTAACTCAAGAGAATGCTGGTCATCACTGAAGACTGGTCAATGTACAGTTTGTCAAAAGTAAGCAAACAATGTAAGGAGAAGAGTCATTTTATGTAGTACCCATTACATAAATCAATGTTATGTACTCACCTGGAATACTGGGTTCAATTTAAGAACCCAGTTAAAAAAAATAGATAGGGGGTTCAGAGAGGGGTGATGAAAGTGATTAACACCATGAAAACACTTCAGTAGTAAGAATGAAGAAATTGGAACTGTAGATGAGACATGGTAAAGGTATACAAAAGAGCAATTGATAGAGTAGGTAAATCAGATATAAGAACAAGGAAAATTCAATGAAATTAAAGCTTAAATACAAACCTAATAGAATACTCAACGTTATCCTGTCAGACTCCTTACTACAAGATATCATTGAGACTACAGGCTTAAGGATCAAAAAAGTATTATACCTTTTGTACAGTTAATGAGAACATCCAGAGTTACATTAGTGAAGATTAAAAATAAAACCTAAAATCTTGTAAGAGAGGCTTTACATTTCAGGGCATTAGCCACCCTCTGTTTGATGAGGGCCAGAAAGAAACTATTAGAGTAACATAAGCCAGAATTGGCTACTACAAAATTTCATGCACTTTCCTTGGTCTGATTGGGTATGGGAATTCTTGTGTGTAATACCTGACATTTCCTCCTTACATCCCCCACTTCCGCAATGGCCTCCATCCTTTTAACATTTTTGTTTGTGAAAACCTTTAGCAGGCTACTTAAGTTTGAAATCCTAAATTACATGGAAATAGTCATTATGTCAAATGGGAAGTTTGCCATGAATAAATGTCTGCATATTTAGCAGTATACTTAAAGGCAGAATCAGAGAAATTTGCAGCATTGAAGAATTTCCTGGGTTAAAAATTTCAGGGCTTTTCCAGGATCAATAACACACTCCTTTTTCCATATAGCTCAACATAGTTCAAAGACTTTAGAAAATACACAAGGGCACATTATATCACTCTTAATCACATTCTGTAGTATTAATCCAAAGTGTTTTAGGAGTTAATTTTGCTGTAGCAGTGTTGCACATTTGAACAGATTCCTGTTGTAACATGAATATGCTTGTGTGGTCAATGCACTGTATGGAGAACATGGAAAAAGTTTCCTAGGCTTTACTACCTCTAATCTCCCCATTACTTGAAACAATATCCAAATGAATAACCAATTTCTTTTATCAGATTAGTACTGTTGGATTCACACTGGGAGACAAGGCAGATGGCCCTTTCCAGCTGGAGATAGACTTTATTGGATTGCTGAATGACAGAGCTCATACAGAGGAATTTGCCTATGAAAAATATGAAAGAAATCCCAAGGTCTAGATGGGCCCGTAATCCTGTGGAACCTGCTTCAGTAGCTCATTTTATTAAATATTTATACACCATTGTTAAACTTGAGTTTCTTCATGCATGATGGGGGTGGGAGTTCACATAAATATTAAAGAGTAACTGCATGAAGTGAGTGGGATGGACTCCATAATAAACTGAGCAGACTTGCAGCTTCAGAACATATGGTATTAAAGGTTTCTTGTGGTTTCCAACAGCCAGTTGCAGAAGTTCACTGTGAAAACAGACTATATGAGATTATTGCTCTATTGTTGGGGAGATAGTTTCAAAGCGAATCAGGGTCCAGTAGTGCAAAGTTATGTTAGAAACTGCTGTCTGGATATATTGTTCAGGCACATGCCTACTCGTTAGAGGTAGTTTCTATCCCAAAACTGACACTAGGATTCTCCAGAGTGGGGATTCAAAAGCTGGGAAAGGCCTACACATCTTAATTTATACAACATGTAGCAGGGTGTGGAGGTGATGAGATTTTCCTGAAGAGGGTTTAGTTTTCAAAATGCATACATTTGTTTTAGGACAAGGAGTGCTGGGTTTCAGTTCTTCCATAATCCTGAGTAAAGGTTTATATTTAATAAAGGATTTCAATCAAAATAGTGTTCAAAAAGTGCTCAACTTAAAGTCTAGAGAGTTAGAACAGTTCAGATGCTGTACCTGCTTATATTCCCTGCCAGTTTGAGGCATATTTTCCTATTCAAGTGTCTTTCTCCCATTATGTCAGACTCAGACAGTAAACTGATAAGACCATACACAATATTGTCAAAAACAAAGTAACAGATATTCTGTAACATTATCCCTCTGTCCCTGCTAATCACTATCAGTAAGAGTGTTTCAAAACTCTAATTTAGGACATCCCAACAAGTGAACTGCATCAGTAAAAGTGATTAGGTGGACCATGAAGCTTGGCAAATGGTAATACATTCCTTTTCTTTAGTGGAAGAGAGGATATGATCTGTATGTATGAGCACATCTGGCACTTGCATACGGTTAAACTTTGTGTCTGTCTCTCACACACATTAACAGCCACACTTATTATTTAAGTCATAAGCAACAGCATTAAATACAAAAAAAAACAATTTATTTTCCCCAGTTAAACAGTATAAAATTTATATAAAAAGCTTTTCTATTTCTGCATCTAATGTTTCAGCAAATATCACAGGAAAGGTTAAGCCTAAACACAAAAGTGAACCTATTACTTTGTAAATATTTGCTCATAAGTCCAAAGAGCTGTAATGAAATAGCAACTGCAGTGCCTCCTCCTCCCCCAACTCCCTTCCCCTGTGCTTCAAGTCCATTCCATGATGTTTAATGATAAAATCAAGATGATTTTTCTTTACATATTACCTTGGGAAATTGCTGATATTACTGCTATAGGCTTTCTAAATCTACTCTAAGTACATCATACCTCAAAAGAACTTGGTTTACTAATATAGAGTATCTTGTAAACACTTCAGACTAGACAACTGTTGTTCTATTATGCCAAATTTTATCCTGTAATAAATGTGGAGAGGGACAAAAAACTAATAACTGCTCTTCACATATCTGATTAGCAACCTACCAAGGTTTGTGTTAACCTCTATTTATTTTTTTCCTATTATTTAGGGCTTTTAGTTCTCCAGAAAGCCCTTATATGGTATTCCCTCTCCTAGAGATTGTCGTTTACTGCACAAAGGACTTAAATATAGGAAACCGCTCTAGCAATTGCTACTACATATACCCTACTTGTCAGAGAAGTCTCCCAGTGTCTTAAATTTCTTGATAATGGAACATATTTGAAGTTATTTAGCATCTAGAGAAATATGCCCAACTGATAAGTGACTCAATGTGAATAGGTTTCATGATTATTCCTTTAACATTTCCTCTCCCCCCCCCTTAATATCTCTTCAGTCTAATAGTTTTATGGAATCTGCTTACTTAGGAGAAAACTTTTGTTCAAAATCTGCAATCAAGAATATCTGGCCAATCTAAAACCTAACTGGATGAATGGCTCCAAGTGATTTGAGATACTCTGGGGCTCTACTTAAAACATATTAAAAGATTTAGAGTATCGATATTTTATCCAACTTGTAAAATCACTAACAATGTTAAGCTCAGCAGCACTAAGAAAGCCTGTCCTACATGGCTAGTAACATCCAGTCAACTCAGGTGACCTGACTCATCCTTTAATGCACACATTACAACCAGAAATATTTACAAAGGTTGGAAAGATTTTTCCTGAGAACAGTATTTACAGTGAGTCCTTAAGAAGTTACTAAATTCCTCCTAAGCCATAGATAGTCCCCTGCGGGTTCCAAGCAGCTGAGCCTTTTTCTGCTTTCTCTCCTGCACATGCTTCTCACGCCTCCCTTCTCTGAAAGTGAAAAGAAAACAAATCACACTAAATCGGAGCAGGTGAGCAATTAGTTGCATAGGCACAGATAACTATATGCATAAGCAATTAGAAGGAATCTTTTAGGTTAGCCAGACGAGAGGCTCCCAGATTCGCTTAGTTGCACTGGCCATCTGCTCCATTTTTTACTCATTAGATTACATATAGAAATGTATGGCTGGAAGGAACCTCAAGGAGCTATCTAGTCCAGCCCCCTCCACTAAGGAAGGACCAAGTAAACAGAGGCCATCCCTGACAGGTGTTTGTCTAACCTATTCTTAAAAATCGGACTCTTATGAACTCTTTTGCAGAAGCACAGCCCATAAAACCTACAGGTCCCACTATATAAGGCTACATCTTGAGCTGATCAACCTGTTAAAATCAAGGTGGGGCCTACCATGCTGGGACCTGTACTTTCCAGCAGTCACATTTAGCCTAGGTAGAGGGCAGCTGTGAGCTATACTTTGGTCATCCTGATGCTAAACATTTTGATAGAGATAGAAAAATTTCTCTAACATAAGTATGGTTAAGGACAGTGCATTTATTTAAAAGTGTTGGCTTGTCACACATTTAAGTCTTAGTGCTCTCCTACAGAGTTCTAGTGTTAAAATGGCACCTAAAACACCCTTGTACTGACCTGGTCTGGAGATGTGGCTGTTTGTAATCTTTTGTGTGTGAAGAGACGCTGCTATTCATAGATTTATTCAGGACAGTGTTTTCTTTTGAGTCACCCCAAGGTTTCAGTCTTCCTATATTGTAAGGAGCAAAAAAACCCAACCAAAAAAAACAGACCAGCTAGTTATTAAAATTTAGTAATTGTGTGAATTTATGTTGTTAATACTGGCATTCTTATCCTCAACTCTACAGATAACACAAGTTGCCTGACCTGCATTTAAGATCAAGCACAAACACCCTGGTGAATTACATCAATCTGGGTACTAGCCAGCTATTTGGGGAGAGGGCTTTCTATTGGGGGTGGCAGAAGCCTCTGCTCAGAATCCTGCCTGTGGGGTAGTATTAATTGGGAACTACCCCATAATGGAGCCCTCTCTGCTACCGTGGAAGGCAGGGATCTGCCACGATGGTCTTTGGCTGACAAAATCCTTCCCGTTCCTTAATCCACTGTGCCCTGTTTTAGAGGGAGGGGAAGTGGCCTGGTCCAGAAGAGAAGCCTCAGCTCCCTGCCATCTGAGCAGAAAGCTCTGAGTGGGGCTGTCTTGCCAACACAGCAGCAGACTCTAGGGTCAGCAGAAAAAAAGAGTTACCAACCTTTCGTAACTGTTGTTCTCAGAGTTGTGTTGCTCATGTCCTCTCCATTGTAGGTTTATGTGCTCACCCCATGCACTGTTTTTCCCTCCGTGGTATTCATAGAGAACCAGCTCTGGTGCCCACTGGAGTGGTGCATGTATTCACTGGTATAAGGAGCGCCGCCAGCTTCTCCCTCCCTCAGTTCCTTCTTGCTGGAACTCCGAGAGAGGGGAAGGAGGGTGGGTCATGGAATGAACATTAGCAACACATCTCAAAGAACAGTTACAAAAGTTAGTAATGATTTTCCTCCTTCGAGTGATTGCTCATGTCCATTCCATTCTAGGTAACTCCTAAGCAGTATCTCTGGAGGCAGGCGGGAGTTCATGGACGTGTCAGCGTAATATGTGGTGAACGTGTGTACCAAAGCCCGGCTCGCAGCCCTGCAGAGGCCCTGGACAGGGCCACGCACCGGGAAGGTAGCCGAAGACACTTGAGCTCTAGTAGAGTGAGCCTTCACTATTGGTGGAGGCACAGCCTGTGCCAACTCGTAACAAGTGCAGATGCAGGTGGTAATCCAGTTTGAAATTCATCTGAGAGGATACCGGAAGGCCCTTCATCCTGTCAGCGATAGCAGTAAAAAGCTGAGTCAATCTGTGGAAGGGCTTGGTGCAGTCCAAGTAGAAAGCCAGGGCACACCTGACATCTAGAGTGTGCAGGCATCTCTCCTCGTTGGTCATGTGAGACTTTGGACAGAACACTGGGAGGACGATATCCCGACTGACATGGAGGTGCGACACCACCTACAGCAGGAAGGCCTGATAGGGTCAGAGCTGAACATTGTCCTTCTAAAATACCGTATACGGGGGCTCCGAAGTGAGGGCTTTACTCTCGGAGACTCAACTTGCTGAAGTAATGCCTACAAGGAATGCAACCTTCCACAACAGGAGGAGGGGGAACAAAAAGCCATAGGCTCGAAGGGTGGACCCGTGAACCTGGAGAGGACCAGGTTAAAGGTCCCATTGGGGAACCAGGCTGGAAAGAGTCTTTCAAGAACCTGAGTCATCTCATGTGAGAATACAGATCTACCCTAGACACAGGGATGGAAAGCCAATATGGCTACCAAGTGCACCTTTATCGAGGAAAAGGTGACGCCCTGGTGCTTCAAGTGAAGCAGGTAATCCAGATGAGACTGCAGGGACGACTGGGTCGGGGAAATATTCCATTCCGACTCCCAGCAGGAGAAATGCTTCCACTTTTCCAGGTAAATCGCTCTGGTGGAGGGTTCAGAGGAACAGCCGTGTTAGTCTGTATTCGCAAAAAGAAAAGGAGTACTTGTGGCACCTTAGAGACTAACCAATTTATTTGAGCATGAGCTTTCGTGAGCTACAGCTCACTTCATCAGATGTTTACCGTGGAAACTACAGCACACATACTGGTGGAGGGCTTTCTGCTCTCCAAGAGACCCTGCTGTACCTGACTAGAGCAGGCTTGTTTCTCTAGGTTCAACCACACAGCAGCCAAGCTGTGAGGTGGAGAGCGGCGAGGTTT